CCACACACTTTCCCCCCATTTCACCTTCATTTGGGCGCTGTTCTGGTTGCGCTCTGCCCTGACCCGGTCGGCCGCCTGCTGCAGCTCGAGAAACTGGCCATACAGCGCCGCCACCCGCTCTGGGTCGGCGCTCGCTCCCCGCCGCCGGCAGTTTTCCACCAGGGAGGCAGGGTCCCGCTGAATGGCCTTGAAGTCTAGGTAGGCGTGAAAGGCAGGGGCGGGGGCCTGGGCCAGCTCTGTGGAGGCAGCACTAGACATGCTGGACCTCACACCTGTGGGTGGGGCCTCCCAGGGCTTGATTTCGAGGGTTGCAGCGCGGGAAGAGACATAACAGGTTGGAACATATCCATCCAGCCTCAACTCACCGGAGCAGCGCGGATAGTGGGGCACTGGGCGCGCACAGCTGCGGGAGGCGTGCTGGGTGGCGAGCCCGGTGAACGCACCACACCTGCCGGCCCAGCTCGTCATCCTCGACACCGATCGGTACATGAGCCTGGGATTGGGAGTCTCAGTGCATGCTCCGCCGCAACGCGAGGCGAGTTGGGAGCCTCGGGGCACGGTGTCGCACCCCCGAGCCACTGTGACTCCCCGTCCCGATGCCGAGCAATGCCAGTCCAGGAATGGGTCTCGTGTCAACCTTTTGCCAAGCTTGCATCTGGGGAACTAGTGTCTGGCGCTTTAACACAACATGCTCATGCATGCAATGTCGCGGGATCAGATCCAGGGCCCCGTCACTTTCTTCTGCAGTTGCTGGGCACGTGCTGGCATGAGGCCACTGGGCCACCCAGCCACCGGGCCTGGCCGAGGCAAGGATCCGTCGCCATGCTCCGTCAAGCATTCTGCACGCTGTCCACGATGGCCTCTGCCAGGTACCCTGCCTTCGCCCGGTTCAGCCCCGCCAGGCTGATGCGCCCATCCTTGGTCATGAAAACATGCCACTGCATCAGGGGGCAAGGGAGGGGTGGGTTGTGGGGCACCTCTCAGGCCGAGGCTGCCAGGTCGTCGGCAGGCATCCCACGACCAGAGGCCGCTGGTCTGCGGTGCTTGATCCCCCGGCACACACCGCCATCCCGCCCCCCCCCCTTCAGCCACACCTTGTTGGTCATGTTTTCCACTTGCTGCGGGGACAGCCCGGTGAAGGAGAACATGCCGATCTGCGGGGTGCAGAGAGTGGCCGGGTGGTCGAGCTGGCCCCGCGCCCGGGCTGCATCGGCTGCAACCCAGACGCCCGGAAACAGGTGCGAGCTGTGCTCACGCCCCTGCCGGCAGCAGCGGCCCACGCTCTCAACACTCGTCATCCCCCCGTCGAGCACTGCCCTGTGTCCCTGCCCCCCCACCCCCACCCTTCCTAGCCTGCCTGGTTGGTGACGAAGCTCCAGTCCTTGCTCGGCAGCAGGCGGGTGAGGTGGTCGTACAGGTCCTGTCGCACCGTCTGAGGTTGGAGGGTGGGGTCGAGGGGTCTGAGACGCACTTGCATGTGTTTTCTTCGCACCAACGGCGAGCCGGCAATGTCCCCGCCCTGGTCTGGCGCCCGACCCCCGACCGTGATCCTGCGCCCTGCCCATGCCCTGCCGCGTCAGGCCACCCGCCCGCCCGCACCTTGATGCGGCCGGCCATCTCCTCCATCTCCACGTTCCACTCGCCAAACATGGCGGCGTCGCCCACCACCTCCGCCACTATCCTCGCGCCGTGCACGGGCGGGTTGGAGTAGATCGCCCTGTTGGGGAAGGGGTCCCAGGTGCAGGGGTGCCGGTGGTGGGATGGCCGAGACCTGAGTGTTTCCTCAGAGGGTACCCTGACCTCGGACATGCTCACTCTCCCCACCCACGCCACCAGGAGGGGAGACTACCCTGCACCTTTCCCCCCTCGCAACCCTTTCCCCCGCAGCGCGGCGCCCTGCATGAACCCCACCTGGCGATGCGTTTGAGCTGGGAGAGCACCCTGTCGGCCGCCTGCGAGCTGGCCAGCACGATGTTCAGGGCGCCGATGCGCTCAGCATAGAGGCCCAGGTTCTTGCTGTACGACTGTGCGGACAGGGCGGGGGAAGGGCTGGCTTGGGGGAAGGCTGGCAGAGGCCAGCGGTGGGGGCGGGGCGGCGCGTCGGCCAGGGGTGCGATCAGGAGGAGGGGAGTGGCGGCCTTGCATCCCGCAGCTCCCAGCCACGGGCAGGAAGCAGATGGGAAAGGGTGTGTGTGTGTGTGTCAATGCCGCCGGCGGGCGCCGCGGCGCGCTCCAGGCCACCCCGCCGTCGGTCAGGGAGCCCCCCGTGCCCCCCCGCCTGGCCCCTCGTGGCGCCCTCCACGGTCCCCGCGCCGCGCCTTTCCCGACCTGCGCCACCAGGACCTCCAGGCCCCGCTCCACGAAGAGGCGCGGGGCGAATGCGTCATCGTCCAGGCTCCCGCTCGCGAAGCCCTGCGTGTTTCGTGGGGGGGGGTCGAGGCGCGCAGCACGTGCGCGTGGGGTGGGGGGTGGGGCGCGCGGCGCGCCGGGGTGGTGTCGAGGCTTTGGGGCCCGGCGCCGGGCCCCGCCCGCGGGGCCGGGCGGGGCGAGGGGGTGAACCCACCATGCCTCAGGGCCCGCCTTCCTCGCCGCTCCACAGATCCCCCACGAGGGCCCTAAATACTGCATACTCCTCCCCTACCCCGCCCTTCCAGGCCAGCCCCCCCGCCATCACCCCACCTGGTAGGCGACATCGAAAAAGGCCAGGTGATGTCGCTCCTCGATCACGTCGGCGATCTTGGACCACTGCTCGCGGGTGGGGTCGATGCCCGTGGGGTTGTGCGCACAGCCTGCGTGCGGCGGGGAGCGGCAGGGCGGGGCGTGCGGCGAGGCGGCGGCGGGGGTCGGGGCTGGGCAGGGTGCCAGGGAGGGGTCGGCGCCGCCCAGCCGCCAGAGCCCCTGCCCTGAGAGCATGCACGGCGTGACCCGTCTCTGCAGGCCCCCCCCTCCACCCAGTCAGGGTACGTCGCGCGAGGCAGCGCCACCCCCGCCCGAACTTCCCGCACGCTCCAGCGGCTCAGGACATGCTATGCAGCATTGCACCGCTGCTCTCCTGCGCACCCGCACACCAACAATCTCTCTCATCCTCTCCTCCCCCTCACCCTGTCGCGCCTTCCCCCCACACTCTTGCATGATTGCCGATGGCGACAGTCATCACCTACCCCCCCCCCCCCCCCCGCCCCACCATGCAGGAGGATGACGGAGCCGGCGGGCGCGGCCGCGATGTCGTGGAGCATGCCGTCAAAGTCGAGGCTGACGGTGGCGGGGTTGAAGTAGGCATACTCTCTCCACTCCACCCCCGCATCCCCAAAGATGTTCTTGTGGTTGCCCCACGTGGGACGGGACAGGTACACCGTCACCCCAGGCAGGAACTTGGCCAGGAAAGCGGCGGCGACGCGCAGGCTGCCGGTGCCGGAGAGGGATTGCAGCGTCGCGACCCTGCCCTGCGCGATCGGGGGGGGGGAGGAGGATGGGAGTGTCCAGAGGGCGGGGGGTGGGGTTGGGGAGGGATGCTGTGGGTAATGGGTTGGTTGAAAATGTGTTGCTGTCTCCCTGCCCACGCTGCGGAGAGCCTGGGGACAGGGGTCCTTCCGCCCCGCCGCCCGCCCAGGGCCCCCCATTTCCCCCCTTTTCGACACCCGAGGCAGCGCCTGCCACGTCGGCCCCCGGCGCCCCACCTCCTTCACCGCGGCGGAGTCGGCCCCCAGCAGCAGCTCCACCGTCGCGGCCCGAAACTCGGGCAGGCCCTCGATGCTCAGGTACTCCTTGTTGTCGCCCCGCTCCAGCATCCTCTTCTCGGCCTGCGCGGCGGGCGGGGGTTCCGGCGAGCGTGTGCATCTGGGGCCATCCCGCGGCGAGTGTGGGGTGTGGAGCCTTGCAGTGGCCGGCTGGTTGGGGGCGGGGGGTGTCTGGGGGTGCTCACCTTGCCGACGACCCTCAGGACATAGGGCTGCAGCTCCTCGGTCCGGTATGCGCCCACCTGCAGGGCGAAGGGGCGCGGTGGTGGTTGGCAGCCGGCGCCCGCACGTGGAGTGGCCAGGATGTGCACGTGCGGGGGCGCGGCGGCGCCGCGCAGTGGGCCCATGTGAGCCCAGACGCACCCCCAGGTTCAGCTTGTCTGTTGAGGTTTCGCGCTTGAATGCCTCCGACACGCCCAGGACTGCGCGCGGGGGGGGAGGGGGCACGGGGATGGTGGGCGGGGCACCGACACCCGACCACAGCCTTGCAGGACGGGCCGAGGTGCTGTGTCCACGGGGATGCAGCCACGTCGGGTGCAGTTCCCCTGTCATGCCCCAACCCGAGCTTCACTTGGATCAGGAGGGGCCATCTCCACGGCGTCCAGTCGACTGCCCCCATGCCCACGAGCAGTCAGGTGGCGAGGTGCCTGCCGCCCGGCTGACTACATGGGGGCGGCAAGAGACGCTGGAAGGGAGGGGATGGGCATGCAGTGCTGATGCTCGACGCAAACCGGATTATGAGTGCCCCACACCCAAGGGTCTGACCTGCTGCTTATGGTGCCCGTGCCTGGAGGTGCACATCCTCGTCGCGGGGGTCGTCCGTGCCTGCATCGTGTGCCCTCGGACACCCACGCACACCCACTTGTTGATTGCAAGGCGCCGGGATTGGCATGCACCGACTGGATGAGTCGGTCGGTGCTTCTTACCATCGACCATCCACCGTCCCGCCAAACGGGCCCCGGGATGCCATTCCTCACATCAACTTCCAGGTCGACTTCTTCCGAGCCGGATGACCTGCTCGGTCTTCTGTGCAATACACCATGCGCTGGTCGACTGCCCTGATTTCCGGGGTCCATCTCCCGAGGGACGGCTGTCCGACATTTCTTCACACGCTGTTCCTGAGGCCATCTTAAAGGTACCCTCTGAGAGGCGGATCGTCGTTATCGATCGTATGCATAAATTGCTATCGAGTTATGTGAAGGGACGATAAAAAGTCTATATTACTGCTAACTTGGGGCCACATTGAGTTGAGGTCCTCGGATTCCCTGATTTGAATGTGCAGCGTTCTCAAGGTAAAACATACAGGACACCTTCTCAGATCGGCAGCATACATCTCATTGAATGATGTGTATGGCTGTGGATGGACACCTGCGCTTCGTCGCCAGTGAAGTTAGACCAGTGAAAAGCTACAAGAAAAGTCATGGGCTGAAATAAGGGCGCCCATGAAGGCACTTTCAACCATTCTATCGCAGAGCTTGCCAGCCTCGAGAGGATCGGCGAGCTTCGAATCTCGAGGATGGCAGTGACGTCGCCATCAGTGATCATGGGAGCACGATCTGCATCCATTTACCACTCAAGTCCCCTTGCAGCCAAGGTGTCCACATCTCATGGCAGCCAGGCTTGGTCAAACCCAGAATCCCCTTCCCTGATCAGACGCAACAAACCACACATTCCATGCCACTCCCTGCAATTCTCATCCACCACGTCCGAGCCCCCATCTGTGAATGCACCCTTGGCGGTGGATGGGAAGCCGCTCTGAGGCAATGAAATCATGAGGCCCAGACATAGAGCGGTGCCACCACTCCTGTTAATAGCAGTGCGGCTCAAAAGAGCCATGCTCAAAGTGAAGCCATCGGCTCGCATCATATGCTAAATCAGCTGGTGTTTTCAGCCGACAGACATCGAACGACCGCGTGGGAAATGTCCAGCGGCGGCGTACGTAGCACATCTTGTCTTGCGACCAAATTTCCACCAAATACACATCAGGCAGGCTGGGATGGCTGGATGTCCCAATCCATTACAGTCACTCTAGTTCTAGAACACTCTTAAGTCATTGGTGACCCGTATTGTACACAGTGCATGGAATGCATGAAACAATATACTTGATCCAGGTATCCTGGACACTGTGCAGACTGCACGGAGGGGCGATTTGGGGGTGCTTGTCAATAGACTCCGAAAACATCACTCGATAGACTGTACTATGCGCTAGAAGCAGCCTAGGAAGGTTTGTTGATCTAGCGCAGCATGGCCGAGTAGCATGTAGCTCTATTCAAGGCGATGATGCAAAGCAGACGCGCACAAAAAGTGACAGAAGCGCAGAACCAGTCCCGGCAACAGGAAGAGAGGCCAAATAAGTATACCTCACATGCGACACTGTTCACACTCCTCGTCCTTACAAGGCCGTTCGAGAGAAATCTTTATGTGTCTGGCGTCGCATGGTGCGAGCTTTTAAGTTCCCGGTCCCTACCCGGTGAGAGATTTCCTTTCCGACCGGGGCGACGATTTTTGAAAGAGAGGAGCTCCGGATTTTATTCCCATGCCTGCGATGCTGGGGCAACTCTAAAAGATGCACCTATTTCAGGTCCCATAAAAGTAGATCTGCCAAAAACCTTGCTAAGCATATTGTGTCTTGCCGGTTGGGATAACCGGGGTTGGCGCAGCAATGGGCACTTTAGCCCCGCTTCTCCTGACGGTGGGTATAATAGGAGCCATAGCCCTTTCTCCTCTCGTTCAGGTGCGCAGTGCGGCTTTGGGTTGTTTAAGTCTTCTAAGCCTTTGTAAATGCTTTCGAAACCTTTTCACTTGGGCTGCGAGCCGATACTCAACACTCGTAGGGAGCAATTGCGGTGAGGCATAAAGAGCAGGCGTACCCTACGCTGGCATCGTATGGTGAGTTCAACGAACAGCACACCTCTCCAGGCGGGAGGAGACTCCTAACGCAGGAGAACTCTGTCACCTCATCCTCACCACCATCCGCCGAAACCATGCATTCAGAAATATCGAACCCCAGCCCTCCTCCACCCCACCCCCCAACCCCCACCCCACCCTGACCCGCCTCTTCCGAATCCCTAAAGACAACCTCCTTCCCCAACACCACCTCCCCCGTCCCTCCCTTGCCCACAACCTCGCTCCCTCCTCCAACACCCCCGATGACCCCGCCGTCGCCAACAGGCGACGGGTCTCCATTCCCCGCATTCCCCCCACCGCCTCCAGACCCGCCTCCAAGCGCCATAGGATCACCACCTCCCCCAGCCCTCTCTCCCCCGCCTCCTCCCTCTGAAACCACATCCACCAGCCCCCTCCCACCCCCATCGCATTCCACGGCAACGTCCTCGCCCACAGCCGTCCTGGCCCCATCGGCTGTCTCCTCATCCCCTAGTGCCGATTCGCATCTGAATGAGGGCGGGTCGCCACCCCCTTCCTCCACATCCCCCACCGTCAACGTCTCCCCTGTCCCTCAGATCTCCACCTTCCCATCCCCATCCTTGCCAAGGGACAAGCCATCACCTACAATGGTCAAGTCTCCATCAGCCGCCCCGCCCTCACCCACAGCCGTGATGCCTCCAAGCAACAGTCCCCCACTTTCTTCCTCTCTCTCCAATGGCGCCACACCCTCATCAGCAGCATCCAAATCCTCTACATCTTCCTCTTCCTCACCCGGCGCAACGCCGTCACGCGCTGGCGTCCGATCCCCCACCACGGCCTCCCCATCCACTGCCACTGCTCCATCTCCCAGCGCAGGCGGATCGCCACCCTCTCCCACCGTGGGCCCCACCACCTCTCCCTCCTCCACCGTCCCAGCCTCTTCTGTGCCTCCCCATCCACCCCCACCGCGGCGCCGTCACCTGCTGGCGTCCAGTCCCCCACCACGGCCTCCCCATCCCCCACTGCGGCGCCGTCACCTGCTGGCGTCTGGTCCCCTACTACAGCAGTCCCAGGCCCCATGCCCGTTCCAGCGCCAGTCATCAACGGATCCCCCTCTTCTTCCTCCATTTCCCCGGCTGGTACTCCCTCCCCCACCACCGCCCCCTCTCCTGGCTCCCTTACATCCTCACCTGCCATCACACCGTCACCCATTGTCGCCTTGTCACCAACTCCCGTTTCCCTGTCCCCCAAGGTCGTCCCTCCACCTCTTGGCATACAGTCTCCATCCCCTGCCAGCCAACCCCCTCCGTCTCCACCGTCACCCACCATAGTGCAGTCTCCATCGCCGGTCACCCAGTCTCCTACAGACATCCCACCACCGACTGGCGTACGATCTCCACCCCCTGCCCCTCGCGTCCCCACGCCTCCCCCGCCCCCCACCGATGTGCGGTCTCCATCTCCGATTCCATCTTCTCTTGGGACAATCCCACCACCTCCTGGCATACCTTCTCCATCCCCAGTCTCCCCGTCCCCCACAGCAAATCCAGCACCTCCTGGCATAACTTCTCCATCCCCAGTCTCCCCGTCCCCACAGCACTCCCAACCCCTCCTGGCATACCTTCTCCATCCCCACGTCTCCCCGTCCCCCACCAGCACTCCCAACTCCTCCTGGCATACCTTCTCCATCATCAGCCTTCCTGCCTCTAATGGCTGGCCCTTCACCAAGCGCCGGTGGACCACTACCCTCCCAATCCTTCTCTCCCGGCACCATCGCCTCCCCCATCACTGCGCCGCCTGGTTCGGCTGCGCCCTCTCCAAGCACCATCGATCCACCACCATCGCCCACCTTCTCTCCCACCTTCATTCCTCCCCCATCCACTCCCATGGTCGTCCCGTCACCCACTGGCGTGCGGCCTCCAAACCCTGCATCCCCATCCCCCTTGGCAGGAGCTCCACCCCCGCCTGATACCCTGCAAGCGCCCCCTCCCCAGAAATCGCCGCCTTCCTCCCCCCAGAATTCGCCGCCACCCAACCCCCATAATTCACCGCCCCCCCAAAAAAAGAAGTCGCCCCCCCCACCCTCAAAAAACTCGCCACCGCCCTCCCCCAAGAAGTTATCGCCGCCGCCCCCTATGAAATCGCCGCCGTCCCCTCAAAGGAAGTGGCCCCCCCCACTCCAAAGAAGTCGCCACCGCACCCTCCTAACAAGAAGTCACCGCCCCCTCCCAGGAAAAAGTCACCGCCCCCTCCCAAGAAGAAGTCGCCGCCCCCCCCTTTGAAGAAGAAACCGCCGCCTACTCCTAGGAAAAATCTCCACCCCCTGCTAGGAGACTGCCGCCGCCCTCTCCCAAACAGTCATCTCATGCATCCAAGGCGGAGGCATATTCTCCACCAAAGCAGAGGTCTCCTCCTCCCCCCAAGAAAAGGTCTCCTCCTCCCCCCAAGAAAAGGTCTCCTCCTCCCCCCAAGAAAAGGTCTCCTCCTCCCCCCAAGAAAAGGTCTCCTCCTCACCCCAAGAAAAGGTCTCCTCCTCACCCCAAGAAAAGGTCTCCTCCTCCCCCCAAGAAAAGGTCTCCTCCCCCCGGGACGAAGTGATCTGCCTCCACCACAGAGCGGAGTTACGTCAAACACCATGGTTAACACCATCTTCTCATAACTCAAGCCGTCTGGCACCAGATAGGTTCGCAGTATGGGTCGGGGTGATGGCTCAAAGCCTTCCTCTTCAAACCACCAAGAGCGCTCCCACGCCCTGAACCACCGCTGCGGGACAACCCTGACGGCGGTCAACCACCATTGTTCTGGGTCCCCATCCTGTCAAAACCTATCTTCACGTCAACCAATATAATGTTGGTCACACCGACTTCCCGCAGGATGAATCTGCTCCAATCCGCATTGTGTTTCGTCCCACACCGCTGCGCCGCTATTACAGTGCTGGTTTCTCTTGTCCATGGCCCTTGAACCAAACTTAAATTCCCAGGGCACAAGTATGTATGCATGCTCCCATTCACATCGAATGACCTCGCCATGTAAAACGTCAGTTACTCCAACCCCCGGCGATGGTCACCTCGGTTGAGGTACCCAGTTCCCAGATCGGGATGATGAAGGCACATTCATACTTTGGTTGGAGTCTTCCAGGCTGTGAGGAGGTTGGAGGATCGGGCCACAACCCCCTCTGATTCAAGGCTGTCCACCACAGTGTGACAAGGGCAGCATTGGTGTGATCTGGGTGTTGTACAGTCCTTGCCTCAAGGAGCCCTGTCAGATCAATGAAGCCCTACCTTACACTTTGTTGCTGATGCAAGGAAGATATTGCACCCTGCAGCAGCGATCTGAGTGGCCTTGTCAACAACTTGAGTGCCATAGGTGACGTTTCACAGGGACAGGCGCAAGTCAGCAGCCGCAGGCGGAGCACCACACTCGCACTGCCGCAGCTGACCGCTCAATGGATTGGTGCCACCAAATGAAGGGAGGCCATGATGCCACAGGCAAGTTCCCCACCCATAACAGGAATGACGCGGTGGTCACCGGATACTTGGCCCCCAGCCCATGGACGTCCACCAAGCCCGAGGGACAGCACGATCATAGAACAAGCAGGTTGGTACAAGGCTCTTCCATTCGGGAGGCACGCGAGTCCTCGCCCCTCCTGACCGGACACTGTGCTGATGTGATCCGTCAGGCACCCTCCGAGGGTCAGCTCTGCTCACGTGACCAAGGTGCATGCATCTTCTCTTTACACACAGGAAGTGGGGGGTTGACACCGTGAGCGCAGCAGACCGTCTTCGAGCCACGGCCCCACCCGCCCATCACTGTCGTCGGACGGGGTCAAAGTTGGACACCAGGGTGATGGCACCCACGATGGCTCCGAGGAGCAGCCCACCGGCCACCACCGAGTTGAGCAGGTTCTTGAGGGAGGGCGTGACCGCAGCCTCTGCCACCAGGGGGTGGGCCATCATCGCCCCAAGTCCGACTGTGACACCTGCCGCTATGGCTTGCTGCTGCGACCCCTCACTGGCAGCTCTGCATGGGGTGGGGAAGGAAGGAATGGCGGGGGGAGGGTTAGTACAGGGCTGAGCACACAGGGTGTAACCAGGCCTGCTGGCCGGAGCAAGACATCATGGGGTCGGGGTGAAGGAGCCTAGGACCAGACACAATACCGCACACCCCAACCCTAGGTGCACGACTCGCCTGCATCGCAGGGACGACGCCCTGGGGCGGACGGTGAGCGGAGCCCGCGCTCCGAGTCCTATTAAGACCATTGGTGGAGGGGTTAGAGGTTCAATTCCACTCAAAATGGTGTATAACTCTCCCGCCCTTCCCATGCTGCCCATTCGTCCTGCCTGGCCCACCTGAGGAGGGGCGCCTCAGACAGCGGGAGGCTGCCGGTAGGCTAGCAGTGATGCACGCGGTCACCATGAATGCCAGAAGACTTGAGCGATGGGAGATTACTGGTCCGCTTCCGAGGGCATGTGGTACAGGTCTCGCCCGGCATGGTGTTATATCGGGTGCCCTGGAGCCGAAAGCGATCGGGCTCTGATCCTTTGCTCGGATTCCAAATTTGACCCCGGTTGCTACAGTCTGTGCCTCGAGTGTGTGGGCCGGCCACCCCCGCCCCCTCCCCCCCCTCATAGCGGTCTCTCAGTACCTGTGTACTCCTATAATGCTTGGCGGAGACTAAGCATTGCCCGGACGGTGTTTTTAATTCCCTCCCTGACCAGGGGTTCGCATTGTTGTTACACTCCTCGGGGTGGCGGGACGCGGCCCTGCAGAATGAGTGGCCGTGACTTCAGGGGCGTCCACGCCCACGACTGCCCTCCCACACCGGTGCCAACCCTGCTCCTCGCCATGGCGTGGCCCACGACCCGCCCCTAGTCCTTCTTCGCTGCCTCGGAGTCCGCCGGTAGGAGCAGGTCCTTCAGCAGCGCATGGCACGCCGCGTGCGCTGCGGCATCCCTCTGCGCCACTAGGCGAGCCCCTCGCTGCTCGGCGCCAAGCCGCTCACCCCGGGCCTGCAACCCCCCCTCTGTGGCCCCTGCCCTGCGCCCCCCGGTCAGGCGGACCTGCAGGGCGGCCAGGCTAGCGCCCAGCCGGGCGGGCCAGGCTGCCAGCTCGTCCCCCCCCAGTGCACCGCGCACGTCCGCGACCAGCC